CAGATCGGCACAGCGTGCCGGCAGTAGCGGCCATTTGGGGGGGTGAACCAACGGAAGGAAGACCTTTCTCTCTGTCTCTCTCTCTCACTAACTCTGCCTGTTAAAAGAAAAACACACACACACACACCCTCCTTAACCCTAAGGAGCACACAGTATTCCTTGTAGGTACTGTATTTCCTGATTTAAAGATGAGAAAGTGGGGCCAGAACTGTGTTGTAACAGGTAAAGCCACCTCCTGCAGTGCCAGCATCCCATTTTGGCGCTAGTTCAAGTCCCAGCTGCTCCAATTCTGATCCAGCTCTCTGCTATGGCCTGGAAAAATAGTAGAAGATGGCCCAAACCCTTGGGCCCCTGCACCCATGTGGGAGATCCAGAAGAAGCTCTTGGCTTCTGGCTTCGGACCAGCACAGCTCTGGCCATTGCAGCCGTCTGAGGAGCCGTCTGCAGCAGATGGGAGATACCTTTCTCTCTCTCTCTCTCTCTCTCTCTCTCTCTCTCTCTCTTTCTCTCTCTCTTCCTCTGCCTCTCTGTAACTCAGCCTTTTAAATAAAATAAAAATAAAATCTTAAAAAAAGATGAGAAAGTGGCCGGCGCTGCGGCTTACTAGGCTAATCCTCTGCCTTGCGGCACCGGCACATGGGGTTCTAGTCCCGGTCAGGGTGCCGTATTCTGTCCCGGTTGCCCCTCTTCCAGGCCAGCTCTCTGCTGTGGCCCGAGAGTGCAGTGGAGGATGGCCCAAGTACTTGGGCCCTGCACCCCACGGGAGACCAGGATAAGCACCTGGCTCCTGCCATTGGATCAGCGCGGTGCACGGGCCGCAGTGCGCCGGCCGTGGCGGCCATTGGAGGGTGAACCAACAGCAAAGGAAGACCTTTCTCTCTGTCTCTCTCTCTCACTGTCCACTCTGCCTGTCAAAAAAAAAAAAAAGATGAGAAAGTGCGACACTGAACCAAAATCTATACTATGTTGAGTCAAGTTTATATTGTAAGTGATAGGTCTGACTGACTGCAAAGCTCATACTCATCCTAATAGCAAGTCCATTCAGGGACATGAGTTTCTCTAAAGGACTTTAAAAATATATTTATTTATTTTACAAGTAGACTGACAGAGAGAGGGGGAGAAGCGCGAGTGCGCGCGCGCACACACACACACACACACACACACACACACAGGGTCTGCAGCCCAAATGCAAACCATATTTTGCTTTCCCAAGCACATTAGCAGGAAGCTGGATCCGAAGCAGAGTGGCTGGGACTCAAAGCGGAACTCTGATATGGGATGCTGGCATCACAAGCAGCAGCTTAACCCTCTACACCTCACCACTGGCCCCACAACAGGACTTTAAAACTGTGACAACTAGCCAAGTATTTTGCACAGTGGTAGACTTCGGGGGCCAGCACTGTAGCACAGCAAATTAAGCCACCACCTGCAGCACCAGCATCCCATATAGGCACTGGTTCAAGAACCAGCTGCTTCTTTTCTGATCCAGCTCCCTACTGATACACCTGGGAAAGTAACAGAAGATGGTCCAAGTGTTTGGGCCCCTGAACCCATACGGGAGACCTGGATGAAGCTCCTGGCTCCTGGCTTTGGCCTGGCCCAGTCCTGGCTGTTGTGGCCATTTGAGGAGTGAATCAACAGATGGAAAATTTTTCTTTCTCTGTAACTTTGCCTTTCAAATAAATAGAATAAATCTTTTTTTAAAAAATGGTAGACTTTGAAGAATGTTTGTTTAATATAAAATGTCTTTAGAATAATTCCAGTTGATAAATTGATAAAATGGTCCAATAAATATAAAAATTGAGATTATCAGAAATAGCTTGAGTTTCAGAAACTGGTGATAGCAAGTACCGGGTTTCCTTATTCTTCTCTCTCTTTTCTGTCCCCTCTCCACATACACACATACTCTACTGTTTGAGAGTAAATTGCCAACATAATGCTGCATTATTCCAAAATATCTTAATGTTAATTTTGTACAAAGTATGAAATTTGTAGAAATAAGAATTGATATGAAAGAGAGGATGTTCGGATGGAGGGAATAGTTTGTAAAGGTTCTAAACTAAGTTTGGATTCTAACTTAGAAGGTTTTTAAGGTTGCTTCTTGGTCTTCACTTAAAAAGCTACAAAGAAGAGTAAATACTAACGTTCTGTGTAGTAATAGAAACTTGACTATGTGAAACCATTTTTTGTAGCTATTATATGCTTTAGTCTCTTAAAGGACAACCAGAGACATGCCTTCAAAAGTGGTTGGCAAGCACTTCAGAATGTTAATAATTCTGGACAGTGACTTCCAACTGGAGAAGAGAAAAAGCAGCAGTGAAAAAGCTGTAGTACCACCTAGTGGACTTTCTGGAGGTATAATAACAGCCTGTGTTATTAGGAAAAGCTCTGCTCCCTGCTCATAATTCTTTTTTATTTTTATTTACTTGACAGAGTTACAGAGAGAGAAGGAGAGGCGGTGGGGGGTGGTCTTTCATCTGTTGGTTCACTCCCTGGTTGGCCACAATGGCCAGAACTGTGTCGATCTGAAGCCAGGAGCCAGGATCCGAAGCCAGGAGGCAGGAGCTTCTTCTGGGTCTCCCATGCAGGTGCAGGGGCCCGAGGACTTGGGCCATCTTCTACTGCTTTCCCAGGCCACAGCAGAGAGCTGAATCAGAAGACTCAAACTGGTGCCCATATGGGGATTGCTGCACTGCAGGTGGCGGCTTTACCCACTGCACCACAGCACTGGCCCCTGCTCAAAGTTCTAACTGCATGAAGGGCTTCCAACAGATAGAAGTTTTATTTCCTGTGGGAGCCCAATTTCCAGATCCAGAAAAGTTGAGTCTAAGGTCTTCTGCTGACACACAGGACAGATAACCGCAGCTTTGGATCAGAGAGAAGGAAGCCCTGTCTTAGGTTTTCTAGGAATGGGAAGTGGAATCAGCTTCCTTCCTTGCTGATTTTCCCAACCTGGAAATGTGCGGGTGATCCGCTGAGTCTGCCTGCCCTGCCCATGCAGGAGGTTGAGAGGGCATGGCACACCACACCTCCCGGGAAGGACCCCACAGCCTGGCTGCTGGCGGGCGGGGGGAGTCCCGGGCACATTTCTCCCCACCCCCGCCAATCAGGTATACTGCTCATGACGTGGTCAAAAAATTTGAGTAACAAAATAAATACTAACAAATTATAATCTATAGGGGAAAAACCAAGAGCCCTTGAGTTCAAAATGATGCACATAAATGAAAGGGGAAGAAGGGAAGCCCTTCTGGAGACCAGCGCCAACTGATATCTGTAGAGGGAATGAGGACATTTTAAAATTCACCACGTGGTAATCATATTAATAATAAGCCGAAGTAATCGATGGATGATTTCATCTTGTAGATGAAAGACTAATGAGAAACAGGATATTTACATAGTGTCAAAGTATTTCCACACAAAATATATCCATATTAATTACAAGAGAAAAATCGTCATTTTGGTCTTCCTTTGCTGTTGGTTCACCCTCCAATGGCCGCCGCGGCTGGCGCGCTGCGGCCGGTGCACTGCGCTGATCCGATGGCAGGAGCCAGGTACGTATCCTGGTCTCCCATGGGGTGCAGGGCCCAAGGACTTGGGCCATCCTCCACTGCACTCCCTGGCCACAGCAGAGAGCTGGCCTGGAAGAGGGGCAACCGGAACAGAATCCGGTGCCCCGACTGGGACTAGAACCCGGTGTGCCGGCGCTGCAAGGCGGAGGATTAGCCTATTGAGCCGTGGCGCCGGCCAAAAATCGTCATTTTGCATTGGAGAAACCTGGCAAACACCGCATTAACAAAGGATCAAAGTGTCACCAAAAATGAGAGAAAATAGACATTTCTGCACTTCCTGGTATGAGACACTGTTGGTTTTCCTCCCAAAATGCATAACCTGCATTTAATCATGGGAAACACCAGGCAAACCTAGATTGAGGAAAATCTAAAAAATATATGGATTATATTCTTCAAACCCTGCATTTTCACCAGAAAACTTAGAGCTTCCCTTGACAGCTCTATTTTAGGTACATGGAACTGCCATGTATGTGAGGGTGGATTAGGGAGATCCCATTCTTCAGGGCAAAGACCAGGTCTCTTTTGACCTAGGGATTCTCTGAACCTCTCTGTCAGGAAACAGCTGTGCCCATTAGGATGCACCAGTGGGGGCCAGGCCAGTATTGTGGCCTAACAGGTTAAGTCACTGCCTGCAATGCTGGCGTCCCATATGGGCACCATCTTGAGTCCTGCCTGCTCCACTTACAATCCAGTTCACTGCTAATGTACCTGGGAAAACAGCAGAAGGTAGATCAAGTGCTTGGGCCCCTGAACCCACGTGGGAGACCCAGAAGAAGCTCTGGGGTCCTGACTTTGGTGTGGCCCAGCCCCAGACATTGCAGCCATTTGGGGAGTAAACCAGCAGATGGAAGATTCATTCTCTCTCTCTCTTTGTAACTCTGCCTTTCAAATAAATAAAATAAATCTTTAAAAATAAAAAAAAAAGGATTCATCAATCATGCCAGGGCCAGAGGTGCCATGCTGACCTGCTACTACAGGGATGCCAAGTTGCCACCAGGAGGCTGCAAAGCCATTGTAAACTGTTTGCCAGGGCTTCAGAGTACTCTAGAATTTGGAGGCACTTTCCAAAAAGCATAAATGTAGACCAAACAAAGGGAATCACCACCCAATAAAGAGGCAGAAATATCTTGGCTCTGGGAATAAGAACTAGGAAGTTAACCTGCGTCAGGAAAAGTGAATTTGCAGTATGACAATGTCAAGAGACACTACTGAGTAGAGTTCAGTCTTTCAGAGGTCAGCTTAGAGGAGAGGGGAGACTTGGTGCCGCAACCCTTGATTTCCCCAATGCCACCATCAGTCTCCACCAACTTTAGGGGCCGAGTCTGATGGCCCCCATCTAGGTAGCATCATCCAGGGAAACGGGCCACCCTGGCTCCTCTGGGGAATGGAGTTGGGAACAGTAAGGACATGGCTTCTTGGATTATTTTCTAGTGACCTATGGAATGACAAGCTCCAGTGCCTATTACTACACCAAGGTCATGTCAGAGCTCTTCTTACATACGCCAGCAGACACTGGAGTCTCCTTCCAAGCCATCAGCAGCATGGCAGACTTCTGGGATGTGAGTATGGGATCTCCTTAACCTTTCTGCTCTCCTCTCCTCCCCAGTGGCCTGACACCACAAGCCAGAATTCAGAGAGGTCAGACAGTGGATCAGACTACATGCTTGGATATGATCAGGCCAGTCAGGAATCAGGCCAAATCAAGAGTCAGGTTGAATTATTGGGTCAGAGTAGAGTCTGGGTGGAGGTGACAGGTGGGGATGCTGACTAAGGAATCAAACCAGGAATAAGACTAATGTTGGGATTCAGAGGTAAGCCTGACCTTCAAAACACATTTTTAATAGGGTGAAGTCAGGGTCTGGTCAGGGTTCTCAGATCAATTGAGGAGTCCAGAAAAAGATACTTGCCCAGGTTAGGGTGGAAGTCGGGATTGAGGGTGGTCATTCTAAGAGTAGGGGTCAGAATGAGGCTTGGCTGGGCCCAACCCAGCTTGTGGTCTAGTTTGCCCAGGGCCCACTACTGGACAGCTTGTACTGGACCAAATGGTACAACAACCGAAGCCTGGGCCATGGCTCCCACTCCTTCATCTACTACGAGAACATGCTGCTGGGTGTTCCGAGGCTGCGGCAGCTGCGGGTCCGCAATGACTCCTGTGTGGTGCATGAGGACTTCCGTGAGGACATTTTGAGCTGCTATGATGTCTACTCTGCTGACAAAGAGGAGCAACTCCCCTTTGGACCCCTTAACGGCACAGCGTAAGTGAGCCCCCACCAATGGCACAGAGCTTGTCCCCTCTGAGCCTGACACCATCACAAGGTGTGGAACCACTTCCACTGAGTCTTAAAGAGCTTTGGGGACACTCCAGGGGACTTGGGAGGCATCTAAGTCCCAATTGTTGGGACTTGGTCTGATCACTCCAGAATAAAGGAGGCAATTAGCAGGCAGAGTCACTCTCTCTGGACTTTTTCCCACACCTAGGTCACAGTCACATTTATCCTACCCTGCAGGCAGTGCTTCCACAGAAAATACTTCTGCCCAGAGGTCTCTTGGGGATGTGAAGACTAAGTAGGGTTGAGGCTACCACAAGAGTCACAGTTGTAGCGTCTGACACTTGGGACTGATGGGGGTAACAGCTAGGAGCCAAGGGTGGAAGAGGAGTAAGGGAAGAAAGGGAGGAGGGTAGATAGGAAAAAGAAGGAGGAAGTAAGGGCCCATGGTGGAAAAGTCTGGTGTTAAGTAGTCAGCTGCAGGAGCACAAGAGATGGAAAGATCTTTTATTATTATTATTATTATTATTATTTGAAAGTCAGAGTTACAAAGAGAGAGAAGGAGAGGCAGAGAGAGAGGGAGAGGTCTTCCATCCACTGGTTCACTCCCCAAATGGCTGCAATGGCTGGAGCTGAGCTGATGCATACCCAGGAGCCAGGAGCCAGGAGCTTCTTCCGGGTTTCCACGTTGGGTGCAGGGGCCCAAGGACTTGGGCCATATTCTACTGCCTTCCCAGGCCATAGCAGAGAGCTGGATCAGAGGTGGAGCAGCCAGGATTTGAACCGGCACCCATAAGGGATGCCGGCACTTCAGGCGGCGGCTTTACCTGCTAAGCCACAGCGCCAGCCCCAAGCTGGAAAGATCTTTAATGCATTGTGGGTGTGGGCTCCAAGGGCCTCCCTTTTGGGAACCAATCAGTCTGAGGACAAAAGTAGGGCTTGGCTTTGTCACCTACAGCCATGAGTAACATAGTAAAACGTTAGGAGATTTTCATGTGCATTTTGGTTCTGCCACCAGACAGTTGGATTATCTTGGAAATCTCTGACTCTTAGTTTCCTCTTCTGCAAGATGTAGGTAATAGGAGTATTTGTCCTCCCTTTTCAAATGGCTGTTAATATCAGATCAAATAATATTTGTGAACTTGTAAAGCCCCCTCATAATACATCTAATATGTATACACATATATATTTGTATATATCATATATAGTTCATGTATTTTAAATACATATTTCCACAAAAAAGTACAATTGAAAGTATTTTGGGTGCATAACATTTCGAAATTCATGCACATAAGTATTCAAAAAGTTCACAGAAGGGTGGGCATTTGGTACAACAGTTAAGATACCTATATCCCATACCAGAGTGCCTGGGTTAGAACCCCGGATCTACTCCTGATTCCAGCTTCCTGTCAGCTCCTGGCTTCAGCCTGGATGATCTGGCCCAGCCCCAAAGCCCCAACCATTGCAGGCACATGGGAAGTGAGCCCGTGGATGGGAGTTTTCTGGGCCTGTCTCTCTGTTTCTGGCTCTGTCTGCCTGTCAATTTTTTTTAATGTCATGGAAAATGTGCATTATTAAAAAAAAAACCATTCATAGACTTCAAAATGTTGTATATCAAAATAAATGCATCTTTTAATTGAATTTTCCATGAACTTTTTGAAGTAGCCTCGTACAATACACAACCTGTGTATATATCACACACATGGACATGCATAAACATGAGTACAGATATATTGTAAATACATGCATGATTTATGTGAAACCATGAAGCCCAGACAACCACAGAGCCTTGCCACTGCCTTGGGAGCTGAGCCCTTAGACAGATTCTGGCCTTTCTCCACTCAGACAGCCTCTTCTGTGGCAGGTGGACGTACCACTCGCAGGATGAGCTGGGGGGCTCCTCCCACTGGGGCAAGCTCACAAGCTACAGTGGAGGTGGCTACTACTTGGACCTTCCACGATCCCGACAGGCCAGTGCAGAAGTGCTCCGTGACCTTCAGGAGGGGCTGTGGCTGGACAGGGGCACTCGGGTGGTCTTCATCGACTTCTCAGTCTACAATGCCAACATCAATCTCTTCTGTGTTCTGAGGTGCTCCCTTCCCCTACTGCACCCTCTGTGCACGGTTCCTGGTTCTTTCCTCCTATGCTTGAGACCCTTCCCCAAACTTGTGACCTACAGTGGGAGGGGGAGGAGAGGAGGTCAAAGAACTATCCCAGCCCAGGCTCCACTAGACACCCCCCTCTCCGCCAGACTGGTGGTGGAGTTTCCAGCCACAGGAGGTGCCATCCCATCCTGGCAAATCCGCACGGTTAAGCTGATCCGCTACGTCAGCAACTGGGACTTCGTCGTTGTTGGCTGTGAGGTCGTCTTCTGCATCTTCATCATCTACTACGTGGTGGAGGAGATCCTGGAGCTCCACATCCACCGGCTCCGCTACCTCCACAGCATCTGGAATGTTCTGGACCTCTTGGTCATCTTGGTGAGGGACAGATGGAGAAGGAGGGCATCCACCTTGGCAGCAGCTCCAGGTTCTTCCTTTTGGGCCCAAAGACCTAATCACTTGCAGTAGCTCCCAAAGCAAGAGGCAGATGCCCCCCAGCTCAGGCCCGGGGAAGCCCCGAACCCCACATCTCCTCTCCTCCTTACCTGCGATCCAGGCCCTGTGCCTTTTCTCAGGTACTTGATATTCTGTTGCTCTTCTGTCTTGTGCCCGTATGACCTGTCCTCGTCCCTGGGTACCCTTGCCTTTTCTCTTCCCTCCTATTCAAGGGTTCTGCCCCTTCATCTCCATCTGCCTCTTATCAGCAGGACACATTCATTTCCTGACCAAGGCTCAGGGCTGGTGGGGGTGGGGGAGGAAGAGTCCTTGGCTCCAGGTCCCTGTGACCTTTACAAGCCTTCCCTTGGGCTCTGGAACACCTAAGCTGCTCCCCCATCACCCTGGCCTGGCCATTTGAACCTGAGCCAGTGGACACCTCAGCAGGGTAGGAAGTGTCTTTCCCACCTGTCTTCCTGCCCCCGCTCTCCCCTGGGACCTCATCTCGGCACTTCCCTTGAGATCCTTGTGACTATTCTGACACCCCATGACCTCGGTGTGACAGCTCTCCATCATGGCCGTGGGCTTCCACGTATTCCGAACCCTGGAGGTGAACCGGCTGATGGGGAAGCTCCTGCAACAGCCGAACACGTACGCGGACTTTGAGTTCCTCGCCTTCTGGCAGACACAGTACAACAACATGAACGCTGTCAACCTCTTCTTTGCCTGGATCAAGGTACTTGGGGCAGCTGCCCCCACCTCTGGCTCAGGGAACCGATTGTCCTTTCCTCACTGCGTGTCTCATTTCCCCTTCTGGTATGGTGCCTCCTGTGGCCTCCACAGGTCCCTGGAGTGGACTTTTCAGAGCTTTCCCTCTTTTCCTCCTTCACCATCTGGTTCCACATGGCCCTTGCAGGTATTCAAGTACATCAGCTTCAACAAAACCATGACCCAGCTCTCCTCCACCCTGGCCCGCTGTGCCAAGGACATCCTGGGCTTCGCTGTCATGTTCTTCATCGTTTTCTTCGCCTACGCCCAGCTCGGCTACTTGCTTTTCGGGACCCAAGTGGAAAACTTCAGCACTTTCATCAAGTGCATGTGTGTATGCTGCCCCCTCTCTCTTCCCTGGACCCTCACTCGCAGTTCCCTGGGTCTGTGTGTCCTTGGGCAAGATGGGGAGAAGTGTGTGGATGGGTCTGTGCTTAAAGCAGCTGTGTGAGCCTCGAGGGGCCCTGATGTGCCCTCAAGTCATCTGCACACCTGCTCTCTCCATTGGGTTGGGCTGGAGATGCAGTGAGGGGTCTGTAGTGAGGAATGTGGGGTGGGTGTGGGGACTGGGGTGAGGCACTGGTTTAGGCTCTGGTGACACCTTGGCCTGGTCTGTCAGTTTCACTCAGTTCCGGATAATCCTTGGGGACTTTGACTATAATGCTATCGACAATGCCAACCGCATCCTGGGCCCTGTCTACTTCGTCACCTACGTCTTCTTCGTCTTCTTTGTGCTTCTGGTAAGAGTTCCTCTGAGGGGTGGAGACATAGCTCAAAATTCCAGCCTGCAGGCTGTCTATGTCCCTAGTCAGGATTATGATGGATTTTTCAAGTTAAGGATGGAGAGTGAGGGAGGACTTCTTCTTTTTTTTTTTTTTTTTTTTTTTTTTGACAGGCAGAGTGGACAGTGAGAGAGAGAGACAGAGAGAAAGGTCTTCCTTTGCCGTTGGTTCACCCTCCAATGGCCGCTGCGGCCGGTGCGCTGCGGCCGGCGCACCGTGCTGACCTGATGGCAGGAGCCAGGTACTTATCCTGGTCTCCCATGGGGTGAAGAGCCCAACCACTTGGGCCATCCTAAGGGGAGCACTTCTAAAGCTGGCTACCATGGTCAGCCTGGCCAGCAGAGTCAAGCAGTTTCTAGAGTACAGGGTTACCTGCAGTTGCCTCCAGTGAGATCAAATCCGCTCACATCCCCCAAAGACACGAGGGGAGGGCAAAGTGCCTCATGAAGGGAAGTGGGTGCACCTGGAAGTTCCTGTGCCCATTCTCCCAAGACTGCCTTCCTCTGGGGAATCTCTTGCTGATTTCTCCTACCACCACTTGCTGGTTGTTCTCTCTCCCTGCCAACCATAAAAAATCTGGATTTGGTTTTTATTAATGAGGCCAACACATTTCTTTATATGAACAATGGTTGAGGATACAGAAATGAATGGTGGGTAGTTGGTAAAGAGAGCACCATTTTGCTCTCACCTTGAGAAGTTTCTGACTTCAGTGATGGGCAGGTCGTCGTTAGATGGAGATCTGTGGCATGTGTTGGCTGTCTTTGTGGTGAGCAAGGTTATTGCAGCACCTGACAGTGAGGACACCAAGTTGACACAGAAGCAAGGCAGAACTGTGCTGTAAGGCTGGGCTCTGAGGATGTGGGAGGTGCAGTGGGTGAGTGAGCTGCAGAGCTGGGGTGAGAACATTGGCTCCTTTAGAACATATGTCTAGGACATGAATGGGATCAGTGGGCTCAATGCTTTTAGTGGGTCTGGTGATGAGAACCCAGTTCTGTGCCTTATCCTCCAGAACATGTTCCTGGCTATCATCAATGACACATACTCTGAGGTCAAGGAGGAGCTGGCTGGACAGAAGGATGAGCTGCAGCTTTCCGACCTCCTGAAACAGGTGACTACTCGGTCTCCTCCAGCTGCACATCTGCATCAGGGTCTGGGTTCAAGGTTCTGGGTTCTGTTCTGGTCCTGCTGGTAAATGTTCCTGTGCCCTTGTTTGCCTTCAGCATATCCTAGAAACCCAGCATCTGTGGGTAGACATGAGGCTATGAACAGCAAGAGGCCTGTGGGGACTGGTTCCTATTTCCTTTCCTTTTAAGGGCTATAACAAGACCCTGCAAAGGCTGCGTCTGAGGAAGGAGCAGGTTTCTGATGTGCAGAAGGTTCTGGATGGGGAGCAGGAGATCCAGTTTGAGGATTTTACTAACACCTTGTGGCAGTGAGTAACCAAAGATCCAACTTTCTCTACATTGTTGCTAAGTCTTCGACCCTCGACTCTATATTTTGCTTCTAAGCCTGTGGTCTTCATTATGAGCTTCTGATCTTCTGACCTTGCCCTTTGCCATAATTCCTTTGTTTTGATCACTCTGACCACAGTCTAACATTTTGGACTTTGTCGAACAACTGTTCAGACTAATCATTACATGTATATATGTAATGTAATATATATATATCTATGATCTATGATCTTTGTGTTATGTTTCCTCACAACCACTGGTCTATTCCTCTAGCTATTCTGTCCATATTTCCCTATCAAACATACTAAAGGGCTTTGAAAAAAAAATTATAAGCCCCAGCTGTGAGCCAGGCAACGAGTAGGGAAGTCAACATAATTAAGTGAGGCAAAGTATTTGTCCTCTAGTTGCTCATAGACATGTAAACAAAGAAATAGCATCATGGAATAAATTCAACAATAGAAGTGACTAGAAGGCAGTAAAGACAGAGACCAGTTCTATCTCTGACATTATGGGAAGGCTTTCTGGAAGCAGTGCTGTCTGAAAGGGTTTGGGAGGATGAATAGCTTACGAGTGGACAAGCAGTGGAAGACCACTCCAAGAAGAAAGTACACACAGAGGCATAGAGGGCTGCAACTAAATAACACATGTGCTCATACAGGAGTAATCAGTAACTGAGCATTGTTAAGGTATCAAATGAAAGGGGATCATATCAGGAGAGAGGCCAGGTAAATAGGCAAGGGTCATGTTGGGAAAGGCCTCAGACATCCCCACATTAGCCAAAGAATGGGGTTCCTAGGAGGAATTTCAAGGGATGTATTTAGACCTGCATTTTAGGAAGGTAACTCCTCTAGCTGTATTATGGAGGACAGATTTCAGTAGAGAGTAGAGAAGTGGGAGGAGGCATGTTATTTAGAGGCAAAAAGATTTTGAAATAATCCCCATACAACATCATGAGTCCCTGAACCCAGTCAGCAGAAGTCAGGAGGGGGGAAAAGATTTAAGAAGTTTGTGGGGCTGGCATTGTAGCATAGTGGGTAAAGCCACCACCTGCAATGCCAGCATCCCATATCGGAGCTATCTTGAGTCCTGGCTGCTTCACTTCCAATCCAGCTCCCTGCTACAGTACCTGGAAAAGCAGCAGAGGATGGCCTGAGTGCTTGGTCCCCTAAACCCATGTGATAGACCTGGAAGAAACTCCTGGCTCTTGGCTTCAGGCTGGCCCAGCCCTGGCTGTTGCGGCAATGTGGGGAGTAAACTAGTGCATGGAGCTCTCCCTCTGTCTCCCCCTGCCCCTTCTCTATAACTCTGCCTTTCAAATAAGTAATAGAAATCTTTAAATAAAGATAAAGAAGTAAAATTGCTAGTCTTTGGAGACCCTGGCTTTCCCACGTGGGAAAAAAAAGACCCTTCTTTCCCAGAGAGCAGAAGCAAGACTCAGAGAGCAGCACTCCCACCAGAGTGTAGCAGAAGAGTGAAGAGTCCACAGCCGAGAGATCACAGGCACGACAGGCAGGGACCAATGCATTGTTCTGCTCTCCTCAGCTTGGGGCACACAGAGCGTGAGATCACTGAGCTCACGACCGCCTTCACCAGGTGTGACCGAGATGGCAACCGTGTCCTGGATGGGAAGGAACAGGAAGAAATGCGCCAGGACCTGCACGAGGCCAAGGTGAGCTGGGCTGCTTGGTGAGGCGGTGTGAGGAAACTGCTCACCCTCTTCTTGCCATGAACACACCCAGAGCACAAACCAAAATGAAAGTCCTCCCATTGATGAGCAGGAGAAAGTTCCCTAGGTTAGTGGTTCTCAAACTGCCACGTGTTAGAATACCCCGGGCAACATTTAATACCCAGCCCACATACCCTAGACCATTAAGTCAGAGATGTAGAGGGGTGAGGAGGCATCAGTAGTTGGTAAAACTCCCCAGCCGATTCCCAGCGTAGCCAAGACTGAGAACCACTGCTCTAAAACATAGTCTTAGACAAGGAAGACCAGTTGCCCAGCAATCCCTGACAATTCCCTCTGAGGACTTGCCTTCTCAGTAAACTCTGACCCCCAATGGCCCCAAATATACCTGATCCATCTCTATCTAGGGTAGACCAGGAAAGTTCAGGGCAGGGTGACAATAGCCCAATGGGAAAGTGCAAAAATGTTGGTACTATCCCTCCATTTCCAAACTGAGTTGGCCTCTGACTTCAAGCAGCTTATGTTTTGCTTCTTTGGGAGATGGCCCCATCTACAGAGGTTGGTCCAGCACCACCATCCCGGCTCTGTCATCTACAGAGTCTGAGAGGAAAGGCAAAAGGGAGGTAGCAAGAACTGGAACCCAATGCTCTGTCCCATGAGCCTTTTAGAGCAAGTTATGGAGCAAGAGTTGATGGCCTCCCAGAGTCATATTCTCCTCTCTAATATCTGACTTCCCAAACAGGTGGCCCTCAATGCTGAGCTTGAGAACTTGGGCCAGTCCATTGTGAATATCCCATCAGGCAAGCCAGATCCAGAGGCTGAGAGAGCAGGAGGCTGGATTTCAGAAGAAAAATTCTACATGTACGTACAGCCAGGGACCCAGGGCTTGCTATGACTATCATATCCTATTTTGAGTTTCTTTTCATAACCTTCCAATTCCCTGTCCTAGCCCAGGAGAACCTCCACTATCTTGCAACTCTTCCTATGTGGCTAGGCCTTACCTTCCTTGTTCCTATCCAGACATGCACCTTCTATTACCCTGAGTCCTGTAGATACCCAGGACCTGGACATACCTTTCTGCCCCCTTGGTCTCTCACCTACCCTGCATAGGCTCACAAGGAGAGTTCTGCAGCTGGAGACTGTCCTAGAAGGAATTGCATCCCAGGTAGATGCTGTGGGCACACGGCTGAAGATGCTGGAGAGGAAGGGGCAGCTAGCTCCCTCCCCAGGCGTGGTAAGTGGTCCTTCACCTGGACCCACTTGGGTCCCCACAGCTGAACTCTACCATCTTCTACCTCAGCAGGTAGGGGAAGGACATTTTTGAAAGTTCAGGCCCTTGGGGAAAACACAGTGGTAAATGGTTAGTGTAGGTTGGGGATGGAGGGATGACAGGGAAGCTGGTGTCCCTAGCCTAAGGGCTGCCTTGGTCTCTGGGACATGTTCTGTGTCTTAGCCTATTCTGGCTGCTATAACAAGCTACCATAAACCGGGTGACTTAAAAACATAGACATTTATTTCTCAGTTTGGGAAGGTGGGAAGACTAAAATAAGGGTAGAGCACATTTAGTACTTGGTGAGGACCCAGGTTCACAGACAGCTGTTTTCCTCACTGCGTCTTCACATGGCAGAAGGGGCAAGGGAACTTCTTTTATAAAGGCATTAATCCATTCGTGAAGGCTCCAGCCACTTACAAGGTGCTCAGCTCTTAACACCATCACACTGAGGGTCAGGATTTCAACAAATGGATTTGAGGGAGGGGGACCACAGACATTCAGTCTATATCCAGAGAAAAGGAAAGGGGAGAGAATCCTCCTTCAAGTAACCTGTCCTTTGTTTTCTTCTAGCAGGAGGAGCAAGCTACCTGGGCACACTTGAAGTCAGCCCCAGCTGTGACCCCAGTGCCCTGGGGTGTCCAGGAGAGAGGTGGAGGGAGCCCCTAAAGCTTCAGACAGCAGGCTCCTCTCTGCCTCCCCAGAGGCCCCTCTCTACACACCCTCCACGTCCAGGGCCATAGGCCCCATCATGGCTGCTGCCAAGTCCCATCCTGCATCTGGCCTTTTGAACCAATGTTTGTGTGTATAGCAGGGTATCATGCTTAGGCTTGTGACTCGGTGTTTCTGTATGTAGCCGCACAGCTCTGTGACATAACTCTTCTCACTGGGCTTCTTATTCGCTATGTACTTATTAGCTCTACTGTGGTGACAAAAAAAATATCAATAATATGCAGGATAAAAGGGAGAGGAAAGACTCTCCCTAAGCACCTGAGTAGCCATGATCTGTGAAAAAGGTAGAAGCCAAGGAAAGTAGGCAGTGTCTAGATGTCTTCTTACGTGCTAGGAAAACTGATCCTCTGTGCATCTAGACATATGCTGCTAGAGCCCATGGATTTCTTGTCTTCCCCCATAGAATTTCCCTGTAAAAGAGAAGGGGAAGCCTTAAGATTCTAACAAGACTCCCATGTTGTACAGGAGTGAGTGGCACATTTCTAGAGTAAAGTCAACAATGGTTCTTTGGGAATAGACAGCTTCTTGGCATTCCACAAACACTGGGCACTGAAGGGGCAGCAAACCAGGAGCCCGAAGGGAAACAGGCCAGGAAATGACCTCGGCGTTCAGAGATGTTTGGATAAAAACATGGTGGACTATGGCTCTATTCTTCCATAGGAAAAAGTGGGTTTCCCTGGTGATTATCAATAAAACTCCTTTGGAAAACCAGGACTTTGCATTTGTTTCTGGGATGATAGAGGGGAAAAAAGAGGCTGGAACTATGGGACATCCCTGTGCTCGGGCTGACGTAGATTCGTACTGTGCAGAAAGTAGAGGGTGCAGGCAGTGATAACAGGAAGGAGCATGGCTGACCCAGAAGTCCTGAGATAAGAACTCTCGCTGAGAGTGGTGGTCTAAAATGGTGGGCACCATGATTGCACCATAAAAAAGAATGGAGACCTAGGGAGATCCAGTCTTCAGAGTGGAGTTGGGCTTAGAGGGCTGCAGTTGGGGGTGGGGGAAGCTCCTGGTATGTGTGTGTGGTGTATGGATATTCAGAGGGCATGAGAGTACAGATGGAAGATAACCAGAGACAAGAAATGCCTACACCAGGGCCAGTGCCGGCATCCCATATAGGCCCTGATTTGAGTCCTGGTTGGCCCTCTTCCAATTCAGCTCCCTGCTAATGCACCTGAGAAAGCAGTGAGGATGGTCCAAGTGCTTGGGCTCCTGCACCCATGTGGGAGATACAAGTGGAGTTCCAGACTCCTATCTTTGACCTGGCCCAGCCCTGGCCAGTGCAGCCATTTAAGGAGTGAGCCACTGGATGAAAGATCTCATTCTCTCTCTTTCTGCCTCTCCCTCTCTGAAACTCTGCCTTTCAATATAAATAAATCTTTAAAAAAGAAAAGAAATTCCAACACCAAGATTCTGGGTGTCCAGGAGCCTGCATCCTGAGACTATATTAATCCTCTCCCTTCTCCTGTGAACTTTATAGCTTCCTCATTTAAAAAAAATACTTATTTATTTGAAAGGCAGAGCTACAGAGAGGCAGAGAGAGAGAGAGAGAGAGAGAGAGAGAGAGAGAGAGAGAGTTCTTCACCCCCCATATGGCTGCAACAGCAGGAGCTACACCAGTCCGAAGTCAGGAGGTTCTTCTGGGTCTCCCATGTGGGTGCAGGGGTCCAAGGACTTGGGCCATCTTCTGCTTTTCCTAGCCACAGCAGAGAGCTGGATCGGAAATGGAGCAGCTGGGACTTGAACTGGCACCCATATGGGATGCCGGCACGGCAGGCAGCGGCTTTCCCCTCTATGACAGAGGCCGGCCCCTACAGCTTTCTCATTTTGCACCTTGCATTGCTCCCCAGTCACTTTTTCTCAACCACTCTTTCCAGCCACTCCAGTTTGCCCATCCTGGGAAGTACAGCTATATACCTAGGATATGTGTGAAAATGCTAAGAGCAACTAAGATAACGGGAGCGTATCCTCAGGTCTAAAACAGTCACAATCTAAGCTTTCTTTAAGAAAGGCTGAATCAACTAAAGAGAAGTAGGGGGTAAAGCCGCCTCCGTCGACATAGGCATCCCAAACAGGCTACCGTGAGTCCCGGCTGTTCCACTTCAATCCAGCTCCCTGCTAATACGTCTGGTCCAAGTGCTTGGGCCCCTGCACCCACGTCGGAGGCCTGGAAGAAGCTCCTGGCTCCTGCCTGGCCCAGCTCGAGTCGTTGCAGCCATTTGGGGAATGAACCAATGGATGACAGATTCTATCTCTGCCTTTCAAATGAAATAAATCTTTTAAAAACAAAAAAAAAAAAGGAAAAGAAATGAGTAGGTGTATCTTTCTGGGCAGAGGGAGGCAGAGTTTCTGGCATCGGGGTCAATGCCTGGAGACCTCCCAAAGCCTGGATGAGACTATCGGCTCGAATTCCCTTCGCAACCATCTGGTGACTAACAGCCGCCAGGGGGCGCAGTGTCTGAGCTAGCCACAGCCAGCCCGGCGACTCCGGTCAGCAGGCCACTCCCGTCCCCACTGACCCCGGCCCTGGGGGTGTGGCTGCAGGCAGGAGCGCATCCGCTCAGCCCAGACGCGCAGCTCTCGCTGGTGGGTCGGTTCACGCCACCCTAGCTAGCTTCCACTTCCGCCGTGCTTTTCACACTTGGTTATGGAATCTTACCCGAGGCAGGACTTGAGCAACAGCCGCAGGATCTCAACCTTGCGAGGGCCGGGCCGGGCGGGCCCTGTGCGCATGCGCAGACTCCTCACAACCGGAAGCCGCGGAGCTGGGTATGGCGGCGGCGGCCGAGGGTGTCCCGGCGACCCGACGTGAGGAACCCGTTCGAGGTAGCCGGAGTGGAAGGAGATGGTGTCGGGCCGGAGTAGGAGGCTGGGGCTCCGGTCAGGCGGGGCCCAGTGTGCCGTTGGCTCATCCGGCAGGAGGGGGCAGTTCGCAGGGTGCACCTGTCTGGGTTTGCTGTCAGGGCTACTGAGTGGGCTGCGCCCGGGGGTCGTGTTGGTGAGTGAGGGCCGGTACTGGGGAGCAGGACGAAGAGAGGGACTTGGGGTTACGGCAGATGGGAATGCAGCCGACTTGATCTCACGAAGACAGGTTGGGGGATGTAGGCAGAGGCTGCCTTGGCTGGGTTGGGACCGGTGTAGGGGGCAGGACGCATAACCCATTCTCCCTTGGCACAGACGATGCCGCTGTGGAGACAGCTGAGGAAGCCAAGGAGCCCGCTGAGGCTGACATCACTGAGCTCTGCCGGGACATGTTCTCCAAAATGGCCACTTACCTGACTGGGGAATTGACAGGTGAGGCAGAGCCTGGGTTTGTTAAAGGTACAGCTGTGCGCCGCTGGGGTTTGGTGCCGGGAGGCCTGCAAGGTGCCTTAGCCGCATCAACCTGCGGCCGCCTGCCCTCCCCCACAGACCCAGAGGCAGGCCTGGGGGAAGTTCGGGGAGATCAAGAATGGGAGCGAAAGAAGTCCATCCCTTTCCTGGAGAAATTCAGGAGCCATTTTCAGAAGTACCCAAGAATACTTAGTACAATTCCGCAAGCCTCTGTGGTATAATGAGAAGAAGGGAAAGAAGAAAATAAACAACCAACAGTATCTGGGTGCCTTAATCAACAAGAGTTTGCTTGGGGGAAGTGTATTTTGAGCAGGGTTGTGAAGGGAGTGATTGATGGGGGGGGGGGGGATGATGGAATCGGTGAGTGAGGCCACATAAGCAGCCATGTGTTTGGCTAAAGCAGGTGTTTACTGGGATATAGAGAAATGGCATTAGAGAATGGAGAATGACCTGCAGATTTTAGGACCTGTTAGGTGGGTCTGAGGATTTGCTGACCCACCCTTTTGGGGCATGATTATTTTGGGCCCAGTATGTGTTTCTGTGTGTGATCTGTGGTGCTGAGGAAGGGCAAAAAGTGAAGTCTGGTCCCGTGTGGCCTTATAAGCATTTATTACATGGGAAAGGAAATTGCTGTGAGCTAATTTTTTGAACCAGAATCTATGAGAAAAGGCTTGATGCAGAATAGGAGGAGTTGTAAGTCTAACTTATCAGCATTATTATTTGGGAAAAAATTGCTTTTTTATTTGAAAGAGTGAGAGGGAGGGGGGAGAGAGATAGGTAGATAGATAGATAGATATGTAGATAGATGTCTTCCATCCACTGGTTCACACCGCATATGCCCACAACAGCTATGGCCAGGGTTGGACCAGTTGGAAACCAGAGCCTGAAACTCCGTCTGGGTCCCCTACATGGCATGGCAGCAGCCCAAGCACTTGAGTGCCACCTCTTAGGGCACATCAGCAAGAAGCTGGATCAGGAGTGAAGTAGCTGGGACTCTTCTAACAGGCACTGTGAGACAGATGTGTGCATCCCAAGCAGCAGTTTAACTCACTGTGCCATGGCGCCTTCCCGGATTGATTGATTATTTATTTATTTATTTATTTTGGAGCAAGAGAAGCCAAGTAACAAAATTAGGCGTTTTGGCTTCTCTTTAAAAATCCCAGGGCCTTGGCAATAGTAGTCCCTCACTTGTACGGAGCTATAGTTGACTACAGCTGAGTGACTGCCTCCCTTAAAGGAATGGTGCTATCCAGTGTGGCTGCACCACTCCCCACGCCTTGTCTTCTGCCCGTTGAGGTGCAGTGCCAGTTGCCATTCATCACTGTTCTCACACTGGTGTCTTCAGCAGTGGAACGGAGATGGTTTTCTGTACACTGGCATTGGCCTCTGTCAAAGCTCTAGAAGGAGTGACTGCATACCAGGGACTACTAATTCCAAGAAGTGGGAGCAAGCTTGTGGAAAGTGTCGCTCCCCGTCTTCGTGGAGGAACGACACAGGACCCTGCGCTGTTCTTTTGTCTGCTCTGCCCTTCCCAGGTTTGCTGCTGGTTCTTCCCGGGTTGGCTACTGTCCCTTCCACCTCCGTGGAAGGGCGGTTCCCCCTGGCCACTTTCCCCACTTCCGCGGGGGAGCGGCACACCGCAGGCCGGCTCTCTCGGGGGCTGCACAGGTGTTCCTTCAGATAGATGTTCCCCTTAGATGTTCCTGGTGCATGTTGTCTCTCTCCTCCTTTATAGTCCTCATCCACCAATCCCAACTCGGCTGCCCACACGCCGAGTACGCTGCTCTCCTCCAATCAGGAGCAGGATCAGCTCCTGGAGGTCATCACTCAAGTTGGCAAGAGGCAGCTGCGTAGAAGCTGTTTTCTCCTCTCCCAGCGCCATATTGTGGGAGAGCAGATGCATAGAATAAGTCTTAATTCCAGTAACTTAGTCTAGTCCGAGTTGCTCCCCACAGAAAGGAATCATTTTCCTATATATTTAATATGCACATTCTTGCTTGCTTCACTTGTTGACATTTTCTGGCTGGCTTCTTGGTATTTCAGCCTGTGAGCCTTGTTTTAGAGTGACTGATTGGCTAGCAGAGAATACAGACGTGGGGAGGAGGGGCAAGGGACAGGTAAGCGATAGTTGGGATGAGAATAGTGATGGTCTGAAGCAGAGTGCTGCTAAGGGGGATGGGAGGGAGAGTGGTGGATGCAAGATCCTTAGGGAAGTGGGCTAAGGCCTCACTGAAGTGAGGATTGAGGGATGGGAGCAGCCTAAGATGTGTCTCGGGTTTTCAGTCTGGGAGGTACCATCAACCAAAATAGGGAAGCTGGAAAGAGGAACCATGTGTTGAGGCCAGTGCTATGATGTAGCGGGTAAAGCTACCACCTGTGGTGCCAGCATCCCATATGGGTGCCAGTTGGAGTCCCGGCTGCTCCACTTCCCATCCAGCTCTCTGCTATGTCCTGGGTAAGCAGTAGTAAGCTGCAGCAGCCAGCTCTGGGTCAGGCTGAAGCCAGGAGCTTTATCTAGGTCTCCTGTGTGGGTGCAGGGGCCCAAATTCTTGGGCCATCTTTCTCTGCTTTTTCCAGACTATTAACAGTGAGCTGAATCAGGCAGAACACAAACTGGTGCCCATAAGGGATAATGGCATCGCAGGCAGCAGCTTAACCTGCTGCCCCATAGCACTGGCCCTCCAAGTACTTCTTCCATCTCCGCAGGCACATTAGCAAGGAGCTGGGTCAGAAGATAAAGCAGAATAGAAGGAGTGCTTTTGAGCTGGAGGAAATGTGAATATATTTCTAGAGAGAAGGTACCAAGATGAAGAGGAAGTTTAGAAATTCAGGTGAAAGAAGTTGACTGCAGAGAGGCCCTGAAGAGGTAAAAAAGGATTTGGAATCAAGAGCCTAAGACGGGTTGTCTTGGCAAGAATCAGAACACTCTGCTTCTTGGGAAGCTGTTACAGTACAGAGAAGTTTGGAAGCAAAGTTGAGATGTTGAAGCAGCTTATATTAGTGGGCTTGGTTTTCAAGAAAGTGGGAGTCGAGGCCATTTCCTTTGGGTGATGATGAAGAAGAGAACTGAAGATATAAGAGGCAGACTAATGGTTTCAAAAATTCACTGCGCCAAATGCAATATAGAATCGTATATGTAATAAATAAGTAAGAAGTGATGAGGTCCTAGTTAACAGCATGTATGTGTGTGTTGTCACTTTTCTTGGACACAAGTTTATCATTTCCTTTTTTTTTTTTTTTTAAAGATTTATTTATTTATTTGGAAGTCAGAGTTACACACAGAGAGAAGGAGAGGCAGAGAGAGAGAGAGAGGTCTTCCATCCCATGGTTACTCCCCAGTTGGCTGCAAGGGCTGGAGCTGAGCCAATCCAAAGCCAGGAGCCAGGAGTCTCCTCAGGGTCTCCCACGTGGGTGCAGGGGCCCAGGGACTTGGGTCATCTTCCACTGCTTTCATAGGCTATAGCAGAGAGCTGGATCGGAAGTGGAGCAGCCAGGTCTCGAACCAGCGCCCATATGGGATGCCAGCACTTCAGGTGGTGGCTTTACCCGCTAAGCCAAAGCAGCTGGTCCCTATCATTTCCCTTTCTAACCATGATCCTGAACCTTCTGGATCTTGTTTGGTTTAAATAGTTTGCTAATTCTTGCCTGAGTTTCTACTTAGACATTGAGAATATACGGGTTAACATATAAGTGCCATAGATTGGGGCTGGCGCTGTGGCGCAGCGGGTTAAAGCCCCCGTCTGCAGCACCGGCATCTCTTATGGGCACCGATTCGAGTCCCAGCTGCTCCTTCCAATCTAGCTCTCTGCTGTGGCCTGGGAAAGCAGTAGATGATGGCCCAAGTCCTTGGGCCCCTGCTCCCACATGGGAAACCCAGAAGAAGCTCCTGGCTTTGGATCAGCTCAGCTCTGGCTGTTGCAGTCATTTGGGGAGTGAACCAGTGGATAGAAGACCTCTGTCTCCCTTTCTCTCTCTCTCCCTCTCTTTGTAACTCTTTCAAATAAATAAAACAGATCTTTTAAAAAAATGTAACAGATCAAAAGTGGCTGCTCCTTTGACATTCCCTAGGTCCTTCCTTGCACTATAGCTTGGTCTGTAATTCCACACTCTGGTGATCTAAGACTAATCTTAAAGGGATCACATCTTCTGTTCATTTTAAAGCTACCAGTGAAGACTACAAGCTCCTTGAAAATATGAATAAACTAACCAGCTTGAAGTATCTTGAGATGAAAGATATTGCTATAAACATTAGTAGAAACTTAAAGGACTTAAACCAGAAGTGTAAGTAGTAACTTTTATAATTAAACATATTTGTATTTACTGTTCTTTTTGTTTGGGGCCACCAAAAAAAAAAGAGGTGGCGGCGGGGGGGGGGGTGGGTGTGGATATGGCATGTCTGTCTCCCAGGACCTCATTTTCTTTCTTTTTTTTTTTAATTCTTTTTTTTTTTTCTTTCTCGTTTTTTTTTTTTTCTTTTTTTTGCCACCGCCCCCAGGACCTCATTTTCTAAAAACAAGTTCAAAGTTAAGGTGAATTTCTTTCATTCTGAGGATTAGCATGCTTCAGTAGTATGGCTACTTTTGCTTCCAAATCTTGATTTTATCAGCTTATTACTACTGGAAAGGAAAGGGGCGGAGGAAGGGTGGCCACAATCTAGTAAACTGGTCGAGCAATGAAACCAATACTTTATAAACAGAAAACCAGGAAACCTATAAATGGAAAATGCCGATTTAGGGTGGCTGAATGTATTTTTCCATTGGCTTAAATGTGTGTTTCTGTTTCTAGGGTGCTCTTCCTTAAAATGGGAATATCAAGGCCGGCGCCGTGGCTCAATAGGCTAATCCTCCGCCTAGCGGCACTGGCACACCAGGTTCTAGTCCCGGTCGGGGCGCCGGATTCTGTCCCGGTTGCCCCTCTTCCAGGCCAGCTCTCTGCTGTGGCCCGGGAGTGCAGTGGAGGATGGCCCAAGTGCTTGGGCCCTGCACCCCATGGGAGACCAGGAGAAGCACCTGGCTCCTGGCTTCGGATCTGCGCAATGCGCCGGCCGCAGCACGCCAGCCATGGCGGCCGTTGGAGGGTGAACCAACGGCAAAGGAAGACCTTTCTCTCTGTCTCTCTCTCTCTCACTGTCCACTCTGCCTGTCAAAAATAAAAAAAAAGGGGGGGGGGAATATCAAGAAACTGAATCCGTAATGGAAAGCTTGCTTGAAAAGCAAGAAATTAAACCGAAAGGAAACTTAGTAGATGACAGAGATTTACTTTGGTTAGGTCATGCAGATTCCTGGTCAGCTAGGAACTGGCTTCTAAAGTCTCTGCCCTGCTGATGGTCAGAATGATGTCACACACACACACACCCCGCCCCCAGTCTGTCTCAGGCATAGCTGGAGAGACACTAGCTTTCTTACTTTCCCACTCTTTTTCTGCACTTTTTGCCGAAGACCTGTAAACACGTGGTTTGTTTTATTTTTACAGATGCTGGACTACAGCCTTATCTGGATCAGATCAATGTAATTGAGGAGCAGGTTGCAGCTCTTGAGCAGGCGGCCTATAGGCTGGATGCATATTCAAAAAAACTGGGTAACCATTTTTGTTTCTGTTGGGTTAATAAACAGCAAGTCTTGTCAGCATGTCCTTAACTAACAGAAGAGTTAACATTTCCTGTATGCACACAATACTATTAATCTTCCCAAAATCCTAGTATTATTAATACAAATAACATTTCCTGATTACTTAGTGATATATCAGGCACTGTTCTTTGTGCTTTACCTGCATCATGTTTTCTATCCTAATAATCCATGAGGTTAGTACATGATTTCTGTTCCCACTCTGTAGAATCACTGACATAAAGACATAAAGCTAGCACAGTACATGGAAGAGACGTATTTCAGCCCAGGACTATTTGATTACAGAGCTCCAGATGTTCACTGTGATTCAGCAGGCTGGCACATCTTTAATAATGTAGAGACAAACGTCTTAAACAATGGAAGTCAGTCAAGGGTTTTCTTGAAGGGTTATTTTCCTTTTAAGGAGGAGACTAGTGTTGATGACTTGAGCTCTGGCTCTTAAATCTATCATTTTATTTTATTTTTATTTTTTTAACAGGCAGAGTGGACAGTGAGAGAGAGACAGAGAGAAAGATCTTCCTTTGCCGTTGGTTCACCCTCCAATGGCCGCCACGGCCGGCGCGCTGCGGCCGGCGCACCGCGCTGATCCGATGGCAGGAGCCAGGAGCCAGGTGCTTTTCCTGGTCTCCCATGGGGTGCAGGGCCCAAGCACTTGGGCCATCCTCCACTGCACTCCCGGGCCATAGCAGAGAGCTGGCCTGGAAGAGGGGCAACCGGGACAGAATCCGGCGCCCCGACCGGGACTAGAACCCGGTGTGCCGGCGCCGCAAGGTGGAGGATTAGCCTAGCGAGCCGCGGCGCCGGCCTTCTTATATCTATCATTAAAATAATGAATTTGTTTTCATCCTAGCTAACATTAATGGATTATTCTATTTTCATGATTAATAATTGTTGACTACTTCAACAGAGTGGTTTGTAGCAGGCTGAGATTTGACATGTGGGATTATTAACAGCCAGTTTCATTGTCTACAATTACATTTAGTAAATAGTTACTGAGAGCCTTACCATATAGAAGGCATTATTCCACGTGCTTTTGAGGTTGTAAAAGAAAAGTGGAAGTCCATATCATAGTAAGTGACTCCTTGGATGGCCTTTAAAATCTGTTTCAAAAGTGCTCTCCCGGGGTGAGGTGTACGGATAGAAGACAGAAGAGGAACTGTACACTGATACTTCCTGAGGGGTCCCGTCTAGTTCCAGAGGGCACCTGGGACAGTTCCTAGAGGCAATTTCCTGTGCTTTTTAAGGATCCTGTTGGGTCCAGGGCCAGTCCATCTGCTTAATCCTGTTGCAACTGTCTAAGCAGGTGCTATTGATAGGGCTAGAACTTAGTGAACTCATGTTGGGTTCTTCATTTTGGGTATGAGTGTTTGAGCCCCTTTTTCAAGTTGTACAGATTTAGGCAGATGATGAGACTGAAGCTAATAGATTGTAAAAAAAAAACATATAATGGACATCTTTGAATTTGCCTGGTGTCTTTGTGTGAGTCAGTTTTGACTGTTGTAACCCTCCTCTCCTTACAGAAGCCAAGTACAAGAAGCTGGAGAAACGCTGAACAACTTACTCTTATGGGACAAAGCCTTTTTTTTTTTTTTTTTTTTAATGTGGAAGAATGTTGTATAAAACCTGAATCCTGAGGCTAATGAATTGTCCAGATACCTCAAAAGGAAGCCGTGCTGGTCATCCCAGGAACACCCCAGCGCTGGAGTGACCCGAGGACTGCGGCTCCCCCGAACCTCCTTTGAGGCAGTATCCCTCAGACTTCAGCTCCTTGCCTTTTACTTGAAAGCTTCATCATCCATTTAGGATAGAGACGCTCTCAAAGTTCAGGATAAACCTGGGCTTGCCAGGAGAATCAAATGTTTTCTCTGGTAGTGGTTTTTTAGTCCCTTATTTTCTTAAATGGCTGATTTTTTGAGTTACTGTGTAAATGGCTGTTTTTTTCTATTAATGATGCTAATGTATTATTAACAAGAATCTAAATTAAAAAAGGAAAACAAACTTGTTCTTTGAAGCTTATACTCTGTTATTTACTTTTCTATGTTATTGCAAATAATAGAAGATTGTATGTAATTCCAAACTGAGTTATCTAGACTGAGCAGAAATCGTGAAAGGAGTGTTCCTCCCTTCTGCTGCGGGCCGACGTGAGTCAAGTGTCCCTGGGGCAGAACTACATGTTGACATGTGCTCCCTTTTGGAAATGTGATAAAGACAAGATATAAGCATGTGTATACATGTTGGGTGGGAGACTGCCCCTCATAAAATAAAGTGTTTTATAAAGTCTCTTTCCACCTGTATCTGCAGGGTTAGGGAAGTGCCTGGGGGATCTTACTGTTTTCTTTTCACACTAAAGACACCTGAGGACAGGGGATAGTGACCCAGCACTGTAGCCTGGAGGACTGGCAGCCTTACTTAGAGTGGGATGTTGCTAGGAAGATGCCTGAGGACCTCACTAATATCTCCAAGAGATCTTATTTCTTTTCCCGCTATTTTAGCTCCAGACCACCATCTATCATGCTTTGCAGGATTAATGCTGCCATCTTTTAATTTAATTTTATTATCCCTCCAATTCATGACTGCACTGCCACCAGTGCAGTCTTTGTAAAACACAAACTGGTTCCATTACTCCTCCTACTTAGAATCCTTTAGTCATTTCTCATGGATTTTTGATGGAAAAAAACCACACTTCTAGCATGCATACAGGGACTCTTTTAAAAAAATATTTTCAATGTTATTTCCTGTTATTCTTACAGATACACTGTGTTCAGTGGTCTTCAGCTACTTAAATTCCTATGAATGAGTTTCCATTTAATAAACTTTATTTTAGAATAGATTTAGATTAGGCCGGCGCCGCGGCTCACTAGGCTAATCCTCCGCCTAGCGGCGCCGGCACACCGGGTTCTAGTCCCGGTCGGGGCGCCGGATTCTGTCCCGGTTGCCCCTCTTCCAGGCCAGCCCTCTGCTGTGGCCAGGGAGTGCAGTGGAGGATGGCCCAGGTGCTTGGGCCCTGCACCCCATGGGAGACCAGGAAAAGCACCTGGCTCCTGGCTCCTGCCATCGGATCAGCGCGGTGCGCCGGCCGCAGCGCGCCGGCCGTGGCGGCCATTGGAGGGTGAACCAACGGCAAAAGGAAGACCTTTCTCTCTGTCTCTCTCTCTCTCACTGTCCACTCTGCCTGTCAAAAAAAAAAAAAAAAAGAATAGATTTAGATTTACAGGAAAGTGGCAAAGATAATACAGAATTCCATGGATGAGTTGTCCTCTCTTACTTTTTTTATTCTAGAAATTATTATCTCCCATGTTTGCTAAATTTCATCTCCAAGATTCGAGAAATGCAATATTACATAAAAAGTAGAAAAAAACTTTTTTTTTTTTTTTTTGACAGGCAGAGTGGACAGTGAGAGAGAGAGACAGAGAGAAAGGTCTTCCTTTGCCGTTGGTTCACCCTCCAATGGCCGCCGCGGCCGGCGCAGCGCGCTGATCTGTAGGCAGGAGCCAGGTACTTCTCCTGGTCTCCCATGGGGTGCAGGGCCTAAGCACTTGGGCCATCCTCCACTGCACTCCCGGGCCACAGCAGAGAGCTGGCCTGGAAGAGGGGCAACCGGGACAGAATCCGGTGCCCCGACAGGGACTAGAACCCGGTGTGCTGGCACCGCAAGGCAGAGGATTAGCCTAGTGAGCCGTGGCGCCGGCAAAACTGCTTCTTAGTGTGCCCAGCAGAGCGAAGGCATCAGTCCTTACTAGGCAAGCAACTGAGTGTTTCCCAAAAAGCGAAACAGAAATTGTAGGGGAAAAACCAGAACTTTGTGATCTTTCCTTATTACATTTTGAATTACCTAGTTGCCCTAGGTGAGTCGGTCCTGTCCCTTGGTTGTCAAGACCTCTCTCCCCTTGGTTTTCATTTCTTTACACCCTGTTTTCTCCCATCAATTGACTTGGACTGCTTAAAAAAAAAAAAAAAAAAAGTCATGAATTAAAGCGAAAAGGCCAAAAGGGTAGGTAGGCTTTTTTATAGACTAAGAGACTAGAGCTAGAATCAGATGCAAGAGAGAAACTTGATTGGATCCTGAGTGAAAACAAACACCAGGTATATAATCAGTTTGAGGAGGCAAATGCAAGACTTAAAATATGGATGTGTATGAAGAATTACTAAATTAATGTTTATACAAAAGGGTATCCTTATTCTTAGGAGATTCAGGCTGAGACATCGCTGATGTCTACACTTTACAAATGATTCGGTCAGAATAAAATAGCTTGGGAACCTTGACAGGAGGGCGCCCCGGAAGTAAATCTGGCCCCATTCTGACACTGAGCAGAGGTGATGGTCATTGTTCTTTGATGGGTTAAAAACAAAAAAGTGCGGGTGAAAGGATTCTGCCTTGCCCACTAGACCGACGGAGTAGGTTAGTTACCGTTGTGTTAGGAACTTACTCCAATTCTCCGGAAAACAAACCAACCGAAAACAGGAGAACAGAAAGCATGATACTGGAACTGCCTTCTCCCCTTTAAACCACTCTTCAATGAAGCAAAGCCACACGGGAGAGGTTTCTGTCCCTCGGCGCTCTCCGTAGAAAACTGGACCTTCATTGGTCGGGTGCACTGACGTCATAAGATCAAACGGGCACGTTCTTTCCGCGCAGCTCGGGTTCGGGTTCCTGGCTTTACGTGTTCTTTCCCATCCAGGCTTTCAGAATCGATGGCTCAGAAACCGCTGCGCCTGTGAGTGTTTGTGTCTGTGTGTCTCTGGGTGTGAACGGGTTGAGGTGACTTCGTCCTGACTGGAACGAAGGCAGAAGAGACGGGGGTCGCGGGGCTGCTGGGGGGCCCCGGCCACGCCTTTGCTTGGGCAGGGTCGGCCTCCTTTTCGGGGTTGTTTTCACCTGGGCTCGGGGACTCTCTTGGCAATACTCTCTGGGAGCCGCAGATGCTCCCGGGGTCAGGCCTCCTCCATCTTGGGCTGTCCCAGCCTCTGGACACATCATCTCGCTTTCATTTTCCCCTCACCTCGTTTTCCTGTTTATTAACCAAATACTCGCCATCGGGCCTGTCGATGGGCCTCGGGCAGTGGTGGACACGACAGACGAATGAGGCCCCTGTGTTGGTGCTGCATTTTAGGGGAGGCCAGGAGATGTGGTGAGGAAAAGAGAACTTCATTCGTTCATCCGAGAGGAACGGAGACTCCACAGATAAATCCAACATTGTGATAAGGATAACGTGAGCAAGACGAAGCTCACCGTTGCGGGGGGGAGGGGGCGGGGTGTATGATAAAAAGTGAGGCTTGAACCCTGGTAAATAACTTTGCCTTTAACCAAAAAATAGGCCATGGCACACCACTCCTTTGTTTTGGAAAGCGATTCTGGCTGCGGTATGAAAACAAGTCAGAACCAAAGTAGAGGACGACGAGGATTAGGTAGAGGAAGGATTCAAGGTTTGCTGAGGAGGTGAAATCGACAGGGTTTGATTGTGCATGAGAAGGGAATGTCCAGTGCTACAGATTTCTTTTTCTTCAGTGGGAACACGGAATGCTGGAATAGGGCCCGGATGAGGAATGGTGATTTGTGAGCCGCCGTATGATGTGCAGATGGGACAGTGGGTCTCTTTCGGAAACAGTTACTGTGTGTGACAGCCATGAGAGAAGTGCAGGATCCTGTGGGAGCACCAGGAGCTGGTAGCTGGTGGGGGCTAGAAAGCTTCCTAGAAGGTGCCGTACTCAGAAGAGAACTGTGTGACAAAGCCTGTTTTGCAACGCAGCCTGGGTTTCTGTGGTTTTGAGAAGGGAGTAACTTTCTGAACCGATCAGGAAGCTTTCAGAGATGTGGGCTGTGCCAGGTGGGGAGAACTTAGACTTGACATGTGTAGTATTGGAGGATCAGGAGAGGTGACTGTCTCAGGAAATAGTGCAGGCAAAGAGTAAGCGAAGTGACAGAGGGAAAGGTTTCAGTTAGGGAGACTTGGAGAAAGTGCTAGAAAGACAGGTCAGGACCTGTGGAGATCAGTCGGGGAACAGCTAATGTTTTTGAGGAGATAACTTAGAACTGTCTTTATATAGGGTGGCATAGAGGGGTTAAAGGAAACACAGGCGCAGTCTCTACTTTGTATCATATTTGTCTCTGATATAGAACTCTCCCTTGCCTTACCCTTCATTTTTCCTTCTCATTTCCCACCTTCCTTCCCCAAATGCAGTTTGTGTTCACGTTCTGAATTTCTCATCTGTTTCTCTCCTCCCCATCTCCCTTAGCATTGTCCTTCTTGTTCCTCTGGGATCATGTTTCATTCTGTAGCATTTGAAGATAAGTACCAGTTTATTGAATGAATGACTAAAGCCATGCACTGAGAAAGTGGCAGTGGAAATAACAAGGACAGAATCAGTGTGACAGATGTTTGGATGGGATTTGGTGACTGAACCAAGGAGTTTTGACTGTTGATGAGCAGTTTGTTACTAGACCTATCCACAAAACATAGGAACGAGGAGACGATGGCTCAGTTGTGGAGGAAATGGTAAGCTAGACTTTAGGTGTGGTGGGTTAGAGCTGCTCCCCCAGATGGAGCTGTCAGTGGTCAGTAATTTACAGGCACGACACCTTACAAGGTAACAGCAGAGACTGGCCCACAGTTCTGCTTCATCCAGAAGACTACTTTATACCAAACCTGGCAGGCCCATTTGTGTTTCTTGAATCGCTGTAATGTCTTTCTCTGATTTACAGCTTGGCTTGTGGAGATGTTGAAGGCAAGTTTGATGTTTTATTCAATAGAGTTCGAGCAATTCAGAAGAAAAGTGGAGACTTTGATGTAAGACTTTTTTTTTTTTTATTGAATGTAATGTTGCTATTGTAGTCTAAACATACTAGAATAAAATTTGGGCCCCTACATTAATATTAATTGAACACATACACTACATTTTTGTTCGACTGAGTTCCTTTTGTGGGCAGGGAAATTTATTTAGTAGCTGAGGAAAGTTACAAAAGGGATACCTTGTAACCTATGAATGTTTCTTTTTTTTTT